CCAAAAAATGCTCAACTGGTCATCTGCATAAAAGTTATAAGGGGATCTAGGGGTTAAAAAGAAAAGACATTTTATATGTTGATCATTGAGGGTTGTCATGAAAATGAAGTGTTTATTATATGCAACATGTAAGAACAGTAATGATTGTTTACAGGAAAATGCTCTATCTGATATATCTAAGTGGGAAGCTGGTAGGAATTGTAATTTCCATGAATTTAAAGTTTATGTTTGTCATTTCTTTACAGATGCCTTTACAACTCAACTGGCAGCACATGACCGACAAATTGGTGTATCCATGATGTGCGAATTGCAGAAATGGATCTGAGATTTCAGATTTTGGAAACTGCCAGCTATGATGGGGTCCTGCTGTGGAAGATCCGAGACTACACGCCAAGCAAGCAGGAGGCTGTGAGTGGGAGAACCCCCTGTCACTCTACAGCCAGCCATTCTACACCAGCAAGTATGGATACAAAATGTGTGCGAGGGGTCTACCTGAGCAGCGATGGCATGGGCAAAACAACACACGCGTGTCATTGTTCTTTGTCATCATCGCGTGGCCGAGCAATGACTCTCTCCTTCCCTGGCCGTTCCAGCAGAAGGTCACCCTCTACTTGCTGGACCAAGGAGTGGGCTGCGTCATCTGAGCTGCGATCATTTCCACCCTGATCCCAGTAGCAGCAGCTTCCGCGAAGCCCCAGACCGAGATGAACATCGCATCTGGGTGTCCTCTGTTTGTCAGCCATTCTGTCCTGGAGAACCCGACAAACAACTACTTGAAAGATGACACAATCTTTATCAAGATTGCAGTTGAAACAGCAAATTTACGTATTGTTTGAAACAAGCAACATGTCTCAAGAGAAATTGCCTCTTGATGATTATCCAAACAGAGAGCAGAAAGTTTGTGTTTCAATGTATGTCATAAAAGGCATGAGGTGTAGGAGTCAAAATTACTGAAACCTTTCTGTAAGATGATTGTAGTTTAGAAATGTTAAAAATTATGTAGCTGAAGCTAAAGGGCATTTAGACAGGAGCTGCCAAATCAAATCCACCCATATATTTGTTAATCATTGAAATTCTTTTATCCAAGTATATATCAAATCTACATAACCATTCTACCCATGTATATAATATATATATATAAAAAAATACCAGCCTTTGAGTAGCAAACTAGTTCGTGGATATGTGAGCTATATAAATATCCTATAATCATAATCATAATAATAATAATATTTATTCCACCTAATCTCAACAGGAAATATTGTATATTGTGTCACTTACCGGGGTAGTATTGAGAAAATACCAATCGCTCAAAGGGCATTATCCACTATATTGTTTTATTGATTTTGGTGAGAGGCTTGTGAATAATTTTTTGTACTGTATTATTTTTGGGAGGAGCGTCAAAGAAAGCAGGAGGATTTAATACTGGCATAGAGCTGTATTCTGTAAATGCAATTCACTTCGTTGCTGATATTTATGCATTTTACGTACCTTTTTCTCAAATCATTGTAATATGAAAAATTTAAATATTTCATTGTAAGTAATATTTTATGTAAAGAAAAAATTTTAATCTTATTTTGGTACATAAGAACAAGAAGTAACTATGGTTATGTAATTTTCCTCTTGGAACTTTCTTTGCTGGACGGATGCAAAGGGACCATGGGCTGTGTGAAAGTGTGAATGAATGACTGACTGGAAATGGCATTTTGAAATACGGGTATCGTGCTATGGTGATAATATAATGTATCACTTGTGTGTGTGTAGAAAGCTGTGCTGAAGCTGTATCTATAAGCACAGACACTGAACTGTCATACCAAACGTTTTGAGACTTGACCTGTCTGGTTCTTGTCAAAAAAGCATGTGAAAGACAGTTAATAGTGACCATTTTAATCATGTTTGAATGTTTGAGAATGGAAGATGTATTCATAGGCTGCATATCTCTTTTTAGGTTTCAAATATTACTGTCACTCCTTCAAGTTGTGAACATATTGTGGCTGTGTCAACAAAGAAGAAGTCATAGGTTTGTCTGATTCAGATATGCCTCCTACCACTAATATGTATAACATTTCTGATTCAAGGAGTATCAATCAGAATAACATGTACCAAACTCTGGAATCTGTAACTACAAGCTAAGAACATTAAATCTGTAACTATAAATTGTTTTTATCTGACTTGATGAAATGCTAAAACTTCTAAAACAATGAATACACATTATTAGCAATAGTGACAAGGGCAATTGTATTTTTAATGTAAGCTCACCGTTTGCATTTGAAAAATATACTTTGTATACCTCTTATAAAATAGATTCAACATTATGCACCATTGAATACATTGAGTGATTGGGCCAAAAAATATATGTCTGTTTCCGGTTACCCGGCTGACCCTATCCTATTTCTCTCTCTCTCTCTTCTCTTCTCTCTCTCTCTCCCCCCATCTTTTTTAACCAATTAAAAATCATGACTTGAGTGCAATTCAACTCATCATTTTGTCCAAAATCAAGTATGATATTTTCATGTTTTTCAGTATATGTAGGGCTAAAATGGATTGCATTGGATTGGCATTATGGGCTCTCACTGACAAAACCTGCATATAAATAACATAAATAATGATTTGACGTAGAAATCTTTCAAAGTTTCATCACAAGGCATTGTCACAACATGAGATGGTATCCTTTAAGACATTCTCAGGTGCCCACCTAGTGCTACTAAAAGTAAAATGTAAAAAAAAAGAAGATAAAGTCGACCCGCCTCCTCTATGTTTAAAAAGCATGTAACAGGACCTATTTTTTTTGGCCTCGGAGAGAAAGTTTCATCATGTTATCAGAGGAATTCCATGATGTAAAGTTCCATTCATTTGAACAAATCAGGAGATGGTGGGTGAGGTGGCTAAGGCGTCAGGCTAGTGATCCAGCGAGCATGAGGTGCCGGGATCGAGCCCACCTGTGACCGGGTGTAAAAAACTTTCGAGTCAACTTTGTGTGCAGACTCTTTCAGTGTTGTCACAATCCCTAGTGAACAGTGCACAACTCTGTGCACTTAAAAGAACCCACAAATCCATTGGTATATGACCAGATGGTGGCCACATGAATGCGTGCAAACACCTAGTTGCGGGTACAGCAACATGCAGTAAACTTGGACAAAGTACTGTGACTATGTGTCCCAGTCAACCCAGCTGTGAATGGGTACCCCGTAAGTTTGGGAAAGCCGCCATAACTCGGTGCACCTTCTGGCAGCAGGAGTTGTATAGTCCCCAGGGAGTTGAGATTTATAAAAGATGTGCCATTGAGCTTGACATCCAATGATCGAGGGAAAATACCAGCCTTGAGCATGCACTTGTGCGTGTATATGTGTGCTATATAAATATCCACTAAAAAAATATAGACAGGACTGGCTTGATGTGAAAACCTGGAAGAATGTTCAGGTGAATGGAATTTTGCACATACATCATCTAATTTATAGTGTGAATGTTTGAATGACTGGTAACTAAGATATAATCACTGATTTCCAAAGAGGCATCAGCTTGCTACTCTGTAGGCTGTTCCAGTCATTTTAAATAGAGTACTTTCTGATGTTTTTCTGGACGTTACGTAAAAAGCAAAGCCTTGGGTTCCTTTGCAATTATCAAATATATTATCATTGTTGATACTGATGTATTAACCCATGAAGATCCAGGTTAGAATTGGACTAACAGGATCACTTGAGCATTAAGACTAATTCAGGACAGCCATTGTCCAAATATTTAAAAGTCCAAAACTATGTACTCAAGACATGTGGGACTTCATTGTAATATATATATGACGCTAAGCTGTATTTTTAATCACTACTGTACATCCTTATCACTACCGCATTGTAAATTGACTTGTCAGCCCATTCATTATTGTATAAGACATTTATAACCTTTATTGGTAATCCCCTTGGCCGTGTCTGCCATCACATCAACTGGTCAAGGAAGTGCTATTGTTTTTCTGTCTGTCCATTGATGAGTCGTCAGCCTGACCATTGTTGTCAAAACTGTATATATATTCTTAGTATGCTCACATCTACACAGGGAAAGAGTGCAGGAGTTTGGTAGTTGGACTGTCCGTTGGGACGACCACGAACAAGATAATGCTGCTTTCGTAGGAAGCGCCCTGGGGTTGAGCAGGTACACCGCCTACGCTCATGTCTTGTGTATTTGTTTGTCATGTACTAAAGATGTTTGAACTCAACTATGCCTTCATCATCATCAACGCACACTTCATCTTAATTATTAGCTAATTCCCCAGTTGACACATTACACCACGCTTTGACAACCGGCTCAAAAGTCGTTTGATCAGGGTTACAACTTTCAAGACCTGAGTAAACATTTATGGTAGGTTCGGTGTGAACATTTCCATTTTGACTTACCATATATTTCCCCTTTTCTTAGATAGAGTTGTCATACTATTTGTTTGTGATTAGTGGTACTTGTTGAACAGGATGCACTCACCTTTTCACAAACCTCAGGTATCAACGCTGTCTGACAGTGATAGCGATTTATATATACATGCTTATAATGTAGAAAGTTAGATGATAATGCAGTGGATACAATTGAGATTTCATTTAATTCACCCAGTAAAAGAATTTCTCATGGCCTGACAACTGGTTGCCTGATGGCAAGCGGAGATTTCTTATGATCAAGGAAGTGGTGTTACTGCAACATATTTTTGTTATTATGCTGCATGCTTTATGCCTCATAACTGGTTCAAGGACAAGTCTGGCACCACATTTTCAGCATTGTGTATATACTGTAATGGAATTGTGCAAATATATTATACTGCTATGTAATATACATTTGGTATATTTTGATGAACTAACATGGAAATGCAGAACATCTCATTTCTCAAAAGAGCTTAAAGAAATATTGATTGATTGACCAAATGTTATTGTGGTCAGATACTATACAAAACATTAATTCCAACCAACTTGCAAATCAATCACTTTTACCTTGATGTAGGGGTGATGCTGTAGCCTTGTGGTTTAAGTGTCCACTCGTCAGCTAAATGCTGGGGTTCGATTCCCCACATGGGCACACTGAGTGAAGCCCATTTCTGGTGTTCTCGGCCATGATATTGCGGGACTCTTGCTAAAAGCAGCATAAAACCATACTCACTCACTCACTCACTACCTTGAAGTAGGTCAAGTGTCACATAATAAAACACATCCAGAACCATTAGAGAAGGTTTTCAGGCTGCTTTTATGAGCTGACTACAGAGGATAATGATTATAGCACTATCTAAATGCCCAAATGCTTCACTACTGGTTATTGATTCATGCTAATATTTCTTTCTTCATGTCTTTGTATTATATTTTGATAATATCTTTTGTGAGATATGTTTGATATTTTCTTCATTTATCCTTAGGATTTCAAGTTTAGTAACCTTGTCTTTATGTATGTCTTAAATCAACATTGTTAGTTTCTATAACTTTCTAACAGAATTGTGTTGCCTAATGTGATGTTTTAATAAGAATAAGGACATGAATATTGAGAGATTCAAATACACACATTTGCCTTTGTTTACATAACAGCTTTTATGCTTCTAATTTAGACTTGGACCAGTGAACATCCATCGCCACTAACGGGATCGGGGTAGTCTGACTTCTCTGAGTTGGCTGACATGTCATTGTATCGATGCTATTGATCACTGGATTGTCTGGTCAGAGTCAATTAGTAACACACACGCCACCATAAACATGTTGTTGGAATATTGCAGTGTAAAACTAAACTCACTCAAAACAATATATTTATATATAACTAATCATCTTTAAACTTTGTTAAACACTGTGCTTATATTTCACCATACTAGGTTGACAGATGGACAGTATAATATTATAGTGTTGTAGCCTGACATGTTTAAATATTCAAGAGGTCTTGTAACATACATTTATTATTATATACGGAAATATACATTATGGGCGTTTAATTATGTATTGTGTACTGTGATTATTGTTTCAAAATGTTGCTAATATGATAATATTGTGCTTTAAACTAGATCTTTATTGCAGTGCTTAAATACTGTTTGCCATGAGGGATACTGATGAAGGAACTTGTGTGTTGATAATATTTTGTGAACATTGTCCACTTTTCTGCATTTTGTATCACTAGTACATATTTATGTATTAAATGTTGTGAATATGTAGCTATACAACACAAAAACATAAAAGTAAGGACATTTGTTTTTTATGAGTATTTTTAAAATGAATAAAAAAAACAAAACAAAAAAAACCTTAGTTTGAAAATATTATCTGAGAATATCCTTTAAGTGATATTTGTTATGATTTTATGGAAACAGATTGTGTTGAAAGAAATTTGCTTGTTTTACAATTATGTTTGATTTATATGTTATTTCACATGGTAAGCACTTCATGCAATGTGATTCTCTCTCTCTCTTTCCCCCCCCCCAGCTTTTGAGTGTACGAATTTTATGTCTATATTGCTACTGTGTTATGATGTTTATGTTACTGTTCATTTGAAATTTGTGTGTTGGTGAAAGTAAACCATGATTATCACTTGACCATTGTTACAGTGTATTTGACTTGTATTTTGTCTTAACTAAATACATCAGTATGACTGTGCCTCAAACATCCTCTTGAAAAAGCACATTTGCAGATAGCATTCAATTTAACAAGGTTTATTCTATGTTTCCATTTTAGTGAGGTCAAAGGTCAGTTCTTGAATGTATATGGTCAGAACTAAGAAAGGATTCAGAATGCATTTTGTGTGTTTGGTTGTAAAATCAAGGTTCTAATCCGACCACTCAAAGGTTTTCTGACTAAATCATATTAAATGCAGATATAGTTGAGAATAGTCTGTAAATGAGCTACACATAATTCTTATGAATACATCCCTCGGCAACACTTGATTGCCTTTTTCCTGAAACTTGTCTCTGAATGCACAACCTGAGAAGAATTTTTAGAGTCCATTGGTTTGTGTTGTCTTTTTCTTCCTAGAGGTCCTCCATGTGCTGTCCCGAGTTATCTCCCAAAACAGAAAGCATGGAAAACTTGTTTGAAAAATTATTTCTACGATTTGGCTCCTTATGGTTGTCATGGGTAAATGTAAGGGCCTTAAATACATTTTGTAATCCCCTTCGGGTACTCCATCAGCTTTTGAAGTATGCTCTTGTCATTAAAAAGGTCAAGAAAGTTGCCTCAGTCTTCCATTCTGAGATCATCACCAATTTGAATGAAGAACTGTCAAATCACCTTCACTTGATAAACGATTTCAAGGATTTTGCAGTTACAATGCCAGAACATTTATTCATCAATGGAGGGAGAGTCAGGGATTTTGATGAAAGAGTTCAGCTTATAAACAATATTCAGGGGAGTAAACTATTGGATGCTTGGTAATTCAGAAGATGATGCCTTCAACTCAAAGAAGATGATGCAGCAGAAGATCCATCAAGTATTGAGATGGGGATTGCAGGAGATACTATTCAGATCAGCTCTTCAATAGGAAATGGGAAGAGACCTTGTAAGTTCTAAAATCGGAGGAAGATAGAAAGTTGCACAGGACCCTAATGGCTTCCTCATTGCTTCCACAGAGTAATCCCTATTGTCCCACAGCCCCACAGGAACCAGCTTGGCAGGGCCAACAGAAGAGTGGTAGTGGATCTCCAACAAGCCCAAGTCTTATTCCAAGGGATACAGGAAAGGGTTTCGGGCCAAGAATATAGAAAGCCCATGGCTAAACTGACTTTATTCACCTCAGACTTTAGTAGCACAGACCTCGACCTTGGCTGTAGACAATGATCATGCACAGAAGATGACCATATTTCCTATGAAGGTGTTTCATGGTCCAGTGGCAGTTTATCAGCTTTTAAAGAAAACTGGAAGATCATAATGCCTGATCACAGGGTTGATCCTCCAAGTTATCAGCCTGCAATTGGCCAAGAGGCACCCCTTGATGACACACCCAGTATGACATCAGTATAAGCTCTGGAAAACGGAGTTTTCAGCAGCAATAACAACCATAGACAAGTGTTGACAAGTTTTTGTGCTCAGACCACTCTCTGGTATTCCTTGTGTTGAATCCTTCAACATACCTCAGGATGATTATCAGTCTGAAGATCCTCAATTGTGAATACCTGAGACAACCTCACAAGTTTTGGATGGAGTCAATAGGGAACCTCTGATGAATGATCCCTATAAGGGACTCTAATATCTCCATAGACTTGCAGAATGCATATCTACTTGTTCAGATTCATCCAGACTCTCAGAGATACCTACGCTTTGCTGTCAATGAAAGACTCTTCCAGTTCAGGGTTCTAAGGATTGAAATATCAGTCCTTGGCTTTTCACGATCATCACAGCTCCTTGGCTTTTTCACGATCATCACAGCTCCAATCCTAGCATATTTACATCTTCAGCGATAAGAATTTCATGGGTACTTGGACAATTTCCAGTCATCAAATGTGGATGTGGATACCTGTTTAGAAGACTCAATATCTGTGAGCTTTCTCTGAGAATATGGAGTTCTTGGTTCATCTAGGAAAAGTGTGAGAACTCCAGAAACAATATTGGAGCAATATTTAACACTGGTCGAGGGTTAGTTTCTAAACAGTTTTACTTCATTATCATTTACTTTTCAAGGTAGTTATGGAGACAGAATGTAAAACAAGTTTGACAGTAAGTTTCTTTAATATACAAGTCAAGTTTGTTTACCATATTGTATACACTAAGAACTGTATTAATCATGTTAAATGTATGGTATTATATGTACTTGGGTAGTAATATTTGTTCTTTGAAATCAATGGATATTAAGTAAGACAGCTTCTATATGTGACATAGAGAGAACATCATTACTTGCTTTTTGGTCCTATTAGTCAATTTGTGACAGGATTGGTTGAGTTTTCAACTGATGTAATTTCTTCATTGCTTTTTCTGGCATGAAAGCTTTGTACAAATGTATGCCTAATCAATTGTTTGTAGATGTAGATCATATTTAATAAGTGGTAAATAACATCTTTGAGTGGCATTTAAGAAGTTGGGAAATAAAATATTGACAAATGTTTGTCAACAGAGTATTGAATACACATGTCATGTAGTTGACTCACATCATAGCAGCACCCTCTAGTGTGGAGAAACTGCCTCTAGTGGATAGAGTTTTTTGTCCAGAGAGCAAATGGGTTGGTGGTTTGATTCCCCCATCATACTGTAATACTAAAAGATGCTGAACAAAGATGTCGTAACTTTATGTTAACATGCCTAGCAGTAATAGGACAAAACAGGCAGATAAGCTCGGAGTTGGTATACTGTGTTTCAATGGGGTATTTTCATAAATTATGTCATGGTACCTCAGGACAAGCAGAATAAAACATTTCTAATTTGTCATACCGTCCAATATTATACTGTAAACAAAATGAAGCTCCAATATATTTTTCTGTTGAGCAGAAATATATGTTCACTTAGTGAAAATGACAATCCAGCAAAAAGAACATTACTACTACAGTCCTCATGAATGTACAGAGGATGAGTGTCTGCCAGTTGATAAACATATTTCACTTTTGATAGCTAGAACTTTTCCACTTATTTAGCTGATTCTTGATTTCACTATGTTCCAATATTTAGTTGTTTTGATTTCACTATTCATTGACTGCAGTAAACAGCTGATACCCAAATATGAAGTGTGTGATGACTGCTAAGTTCGGAATGCAAAATATTATTATGACACTATGAACAATAAGATGAAATATATCTTGAGTGCCCAGGTCTATCCTTCTGGATCTACAATAATATTAATAATATTTTGACCTATTTTGAAAAAATTTTACACAATTACAGGGTTGGTCTATTTTAATATTTAAACATTCCCAACTTTACAAAACAAAAATCAAAACCAAGAAGATTTTATGGTCTAAATTCTTATTCTCAGACTGAATGTTCTGCACTCCCTTCTGTGTTTCATTGGAATTGATCCACATTTGACTATAGACTGTTTGCTGTAATTAATGGCACATGGAAATTGAGTTAGAGGACTGCTTATTAAAACCATTTACTACAAATTTTATTTGTTTTCAGAAGTGGAAGTGGAGAACCTTGTTTCAAACATGCATGGAAAATTCTGGATAATGTACTACAGTACTTGGATACCAACACTGCTGTATTCTTTAAAAGCTTGTAAAGTTTGGACTATCATGTAAATTTTGTCTCATTTATAATGATTTCTTAAAAAATTGTTCTGGAAGCTGGTGCTTGATACCATTGTTAGGAATTTGTAGCTGACACACCCTTATCAGTTAATTTGTATTTATTTATCAATACTTGCAGGCAGTTCAATGTATATTTCTAAACATTGCTTGCAATCAAGTGTAGTCAGTCTAGTTACAAAATGAGATTTTCAAGGACTTTCATGATTTAGACTAGGCAAAACAAGCCATATGTTGAACTTTTGCTTCATTTTTATATTCCAGCTGTTCTGTCACATGTTGTAATGTTATTGTATTCCTGCATATAGAAATAAAATTTTGCTTTGAATATATGTTTCTCATTATTAATTGTTTGCATGTTCCACATTTTAGTATTCTGCTCGTCATTGGTATTATCAATAGCACCAGTTGTCTTAATGAAATGTGCAAAATCATTTCTCCAAACTGCACTTGGAGGCCAAATACCAGTAATTGTTTTCTTATTCATAATGTTTTTAGAAGAACATAGCTCAAATGTCTTTCTTTGAAACTTAATGCACTGGTGAATTAGTTTTTAATGGAGAGAGGTTTTCTTGACTGTATTCATTATAAGAGAAAGATCGTTAAACAAAATGAAAACATTAATAAACAGTGAAAAGTCTGGATGTCACACTTTAAGGGTTTTGTCACTCTTCTTTTTCAAAATGAAATACTGGTAAAAAGTGTATAAATTAATTTTGAAAAGTCACTGGGTAGGAGGGCTAGTTAGGTAAAAAATCATACTTCATTGGCCCAGCAAAATATCAATATCAAAATGCACAACCGTCCAGAATTGGTGTGATGTTTGGTAATTGAAGATGATAAACACTACATTTGTATTGTAATGGTTCCTAACCTCTTTTAGCTAATGTATTCACATTTTTATATAGCGATCCTTATGTGACAAGAGACAATAAATATCCACGAAACATTTGGCGGAGGGACTTATAACATCTTAATAATTGGGGCGGTGGGGTAGCCTAGTGGTTAAAGCGTTGGCTCGCCACATGCGAAGACCCGGTTCGATTCCCCACATGGGCACAATGTGTGTAAGCCAATTTCTGGTGTCCCCGCTTGCGTGATATTGCTGGAATATTGCTAAAACGGGCGTTAAACTAAACTCAGTCAGTCAGTCTTAATAATTGACTTCATCATGTTCATGTGCATTAAATAAAGAACAAATTATCTGACATTTTTAGCTAACCAGTCGGTTAGCTTTAACACTTTATTACTGGCCCATTCACAATCAGCTTGCATTTGGCTAGCAGGTCAGTAGCTATTTCTAACGCTGCTGGAAGATAATCAGAAATATGAAGAATGGCTCAAAAGAGCAAATGCTTCAATGTGGACTATAGCTAAATTGTAACTTACCAATTCAGGAGTGCCTAAAACATGATTACAATTTCAATAGTATAGACTGCATTGCTAAAATGCCTATTTGAGAACAACATATGCCTCTAGACCAATTTTGTTTCCCTATCAAACTATTGTTTTGCTGTGACAACAACCAGTCATCTCCTTGGTTTGTGAACAAAGCTTAAAAAGCCCCAGTACTTTCAAAGTAAAGAACTAGGTTGAAAGGTATATGCAAAATGGCATGAATTCTATCTAGCTAGTTTGTTAACTCAACGACTCTTTCTGGTTATCAATAGATGGGCCCAATCTAAATTGTGAGGGGGACTGCGTTTTCTACACAATTCAAAAAGCTTGATCTGGGTTTTTTTCCAACCACCAGGAATCCATGTGATCTGATAATTGCTGCCTCCACATTAGTATATGTACCAATATACCAATACCAATAAAGGCTAGGTTTGTTTCTGGTAGATTGTGAACACTGAGTACCCCAAGTTTTATGTATTGGGTGACATTAAACTCAGTGTCTGAATTAAACTGCCTGACTGACTATATTATAATGCCTCATTCACATGGACAAAATATACTTATGTAAGTAAATTTACTCATGGAGTATATATATTCAATGAGCAGAAGAATATTTACATTGTGTTCACAATCAGTGTTAATAATATTTTCAGGTATGATCTCGTGCATTTAGAATTTCTTCAATGATTTCTAGCATCACCTGTTCCCATGACCAAAATATTCCTGGAGCATTTATACTTTTAAGTAAATATACTATTACTGGACCTACCTAGGTGTAGCAAATATGTTTTTACTTATGTCCATATATTTACTCAAGCAAGCAAATGTGTTCACATGCTACCAGAAGTAGATTAATTTACTTATGTAAGTATAAATGTATCCAAGTGAATGAGGCCTAAATGTAAGTAGGTATATTCTGATACAGATGCAGTGTTAGGGAATGGCATCACATTATTTCATTGATAATCGATTACGGTAGAATGTATCTTCGCTCATGAAAGCTTGTGGTGACAGCTTGTTCTCAATATCTGAACTAAAGTACTTTAGTCTTAAATGACAATTTGTCCTCTGAAGTTTAAGCCAAGAGTGGCCTTATTCCACGGACTATACATGTAATAGTTCTGTTAAAAAGTCTGTGGGTACATGGGCGTGTATATGTAACTGCATAGAAGATTCATACATTTGGAATTTTGCCTACAATTGCCTTAGACAGTGCAATTTTGGTATATATGTTTTACACATCACTATTACGTTGTTAGATGTTCGGTTTCTATCCGAAACGGCAAAGTTCCTAGAATTTGTTTTCGAATTGGTCACAGTTATGAAAGAGAAACCCTGATATACATATTAGACAAAAACAATAGTGAAACATATGAAGTGGAATCAAAGAAGCCATTATGCGTTTTTAAAAGTATTATTTTCATTTAAACGAAATGTCTCTATGTTGATATAAACACCATTCCTTCTGTTTGTAATAGTTCTGTAAAGTCGATGGGGCATAGAGGCTAGTATAGTTAAATTTTTTGTATGTAATTTACACATCCCCAGTATCAATAAAAGGTGTTGTCTCAATAAAGTGAGGTACACACACTGGAACAGGGTATAGTGCGAAAAATGCTGCCAAGCCTGTACCTTGCTTGCGATATAGCTGTACTCAGCCAGCAATACTTTTGCTGAATGCGTCTGTACTGATACAGAGTTCCAAATAACCTTGTTATCACTAGGGGTTTTATTTCGATTCAACTTACAATCAATGTAATTTTCTGGGTTTTTTTGTAATAGTGTTCGGAAGAGTCTATGGGACACCAGGGAGACTATATAATGTTGTAGAGTATCCCCTGGGGACACACAAAAGCACTAGAGAGGGCGGTGGGGGTAGCCTAGCGGGTAATGCCATCGCTCAAATCAGCTGAAGATCTGGGTTCGATTCCCCACATGGGTACAATGTGTGAAGCCCATTTCTGAAAAAAGGTCATACACATAGTTCCTGCGCGAGTCTGACCACGGGTTATCCAAACACGTAAATCAAACAATCTCCACACCCAGACCAAAATCACAAATTTACTAAGAAGCACCAGTTAAAACACACAAGACCCACCCCAAACAAACATCTCCCACTATCATCCTGACCTTCAAAGGTACCAAACTTCATTGCAAAATTGTTTTCTGATCAATCACTTGCAAAATGCACAATATGGACAAACACAATTAAACTGTAAAAAACCTAGACAGACGCCACAATTCAGCTCCGAGTCCTCAACAACTCTGCTTGCAACCAACAACTTTAGGTATATTGCCACCACTATGATCATATCACCTTTTAAAACTTATGCCCATTCCCCTAAAACCAAATCAGCGGCTTGTGTCTGGCATTCTCATGTGGTTGTGGGACAATCCAGCACAAGCTCCAGCTGTTACCAATGCAGCCCAATAATCCCATAGACACTGTAGTAATAATACACAAGTATCTTTTACAAACCTCTCTGGACACACTCCCCGCCATCATACCAAAAATCTAGACTAACAACTGGTCTCTGAAATGAACATATTTTTACAGAAAAAGCTCATAGAAAAACATAAAATATGATGAAAAGGAGCCCTGAGACTTTCTTCATTTTTAGAAGCTGTGACTTGCCACATTTTCTAGATTTCGTAGGCTTTCTTGGATATATTTGCTTCGGGGTCTGAATGACAGACTAACCAAAAATCCCATGCAATTAAATCACTAAAAAATCATAAAACGCCAATCCACACTCCAATAAAAATACTTAAAGAACAAACAATTCGCCATACCTAACAACACCGCACTAAAGAAACACTGCACATTACATAACCCAAATCTTCCAAATTACTGTTACATCAGCTCCGTTAAACCAAGAACAAATAAGCACAGCCCGCTTGGAAACACAGACTCACATAAAACGATAGAAAACACAAAATATAACATTAGTAAACATATACAACCAAAACACAAAAATAAAACGTTGATGCTGAAATCCTAGCAAAACATATGACAGATATTGTATCTTTCTAGAAGACTTGAAGGCTATCACCAGAAAACATTCAGACACACATGATAATTACTATATTAAACTTTCTCCCTGCAATAGACTTGACCATTACTACTCCTAATCTGGCATGTAAATCTAATCGGAATTATAAGGAAATGACCAATTGTCTTCCGATCTCAATCAAAAACTGGTACAAATCATACTCCAGAAAACTTCACAAGACCAAAAAGTTCAACCCCAAAAAGTAGACAGAAAGGAAAATAAATAAATATAAACATAAAAAAATTTTGATAGTAGCAAACAAACCTATTTAAATTGAAAAGGAGTCCCGGAAGACCTGGGGAAAAATCTAGACTTTGTTTAGAGCCTTAGCACTACAGGAGGGCTAGACTAACAACTAGTCTCTGAAATGAACATATTTTACTGAAAAATGTTCATAGTAAAAAAAATATAAAATATAATGAAAAGGAGCCCTGAGACCTTCTTCATTTTTGAAGCTGAAGAAATCTAGACTTGCCACATTTTCTAGACTTGTGTGGGCTTTCTTGGATATATTTGCTTCAGGGTCTGTACGAGAGACTAAGGGAGGGCTAGACTGTAGGGAAATAATATGGTTCAGGGACCGTGAGACAGGCTAATCATTATGTTAGACCAATGGTTTGGTGAGACGAGGGAAGTGTGTGGAGGCAGCCAGTTTAATTCGGCATAGTGTAAAGTATGGAATGGATTTTGGAATGGAACAGTGGAATGGAATTTGGAGTGACACAAATTTGCTATTTATAAACAAGTCTCCGCTCTAATGTGCTAAGACAGTTTATAAACAGCTGATCACTGATATATAGCACTAAGCAAAAGGACGTGGGTGTCAGCTTCTCTCCAGCCATGACCCATCCACCACACACTCAAAAGCACATGACTC